AATTGTGAAATGGAGAATTAGAAGATCCAATTTTGAAGACACAATGATTCCAAGTGTTAAAAATATGAGATAGACTTCTTATGATTTACAAACAAAATTAATTCATCTGAAAATATTATGTGTTTATTGGACCCTCAAAGAATGTTTAAAAGGAAAAAAGCATCTATTTTTTTTAATGTTGCTGATGTGAGAAATGTGAATTTTTTTAAATTCATAAAACTGTTTTGTTCTATTATGGTCTTGTTTTGATTTCAAATTAGTACATGTATTGATACAATTTAGGGGGGGGGAAACCAAGTTAATATGATGTTGAACTGCATTCCTAAAACATGGATTTTGCCATCTCATGAAGAGCTTGCATAAGGCAAAAAGGATAATTCTGCATAGTTGGAGAGAAACCTACTCTCTTGATTTTAAAGGAACGAATGTAGGATATGAATTCCTTATTTATTCTTGCAGTTTCTCAGTTCTGAAAATGAAAAAAATAAACAACACAATATGCACTAGATCAGTGGTTCTTAACCTTTTTGAATGAATCGCCCCCTTGAGCCAATGAGGAAGTTGTTATCGCCCCCCTCCCCCAACATAACCTCTCAATCACAACATAGGAAATAATTCTTCAATTTATGCAAACACTTTTTTTGTTTTCTTTAAAATTGTCATCAGGACATATTGATGCAAATAATTTATTTCCAGTCTTTTTCACATATCTCCCATATTCTGGTCAATGGCGCGCCACTGTATGGGTAGAGGCTGCTGCGCAACGCACATGAAGATAAGCGATGTGTCTTCACATATGTACAGCGTTCTGTACTGAAGCTAGCTGGAGGAACATTTGAAAACACAATTCAATCCACTAATAGCGAGCAATCTGATGTTTTTGTATGACAGATATATAGCGATTCACTGTACGAAAAAGTCTCAAAAGTGTCCCCAAAACCTCTTGCTCCATCACGCCCTTTTCGTTCTTTTGCCCCCACATCGCCCCTTTTCGTTCCATCGCCCCCCTGAAAAATGAAATTGCCCCCTGGGGGGCAATATTGCCCAGGTTAAGAACCACTGCACTAGATGGTCTAGATTTAATGTCAGCTGAGCAAGTGAAATAATTTTATATAATTGTTTGCATTTTTTTCTTTTTTGTCATGTTTATTCACTCTAAAAGATTTAGGTTCATTTTCACTATATAATCAGTATTTCTTTTTCCTTTGGTGATGTAAATTATTTTCCCTATATTTCATCTTGAAAAAAGGTAGCTATGGAAAGGTACTGTATGAGGAACAGTGTTGATACAAACAAATATTAACTATGTTTCTTCTTTTATTCTTGTCTCAGGCCTTTCTTTACTTCACTATTTCTTGCTCCATTTCTGCACTTTACATAACTTTGCTTATCCTGGAATATATATGTTTCTTTTTAATTGTTTAATATAACTAAAAAAAAAGAAATAAGAGTGCAGAACGCTCATAAAAAAGTGGAGTTTTGATCCTATAATGTGGCTGCCATCTTGACTTTTTTAAAATTCTTCCCTCAGGACTCTCTGGCTATTTCGTAAAAATAGCAGTCATTTGACCCAATCACTACAGGGGATCGAGCTTTTCCTTTACTTTGAAAGCCTTTTAGGTATTTGCTTGGAAACTTTATTTGCTATATTCCTTTGTCCAGACTTTTCCAAGAAAGGATTCTAAATAATTTAACAGTTTTAGAAAGAAGCTCTAATTATATCCCACTTAAAAGATAAGGTGCCTAAATGGCTAGATGATTAATGCTGAGTCATTGTGCCGGAAAACCTCTGTTGGTGTAAAATGTGTTTCTGTGACCTCAGGTTTGATCATTCAGAAATCATGAAACATTATTTTCCTATTACAGGCTGATATCTTTGACCTGACAACTACCAGCAGTTATTCACATTAAGGTTTGAAAATGATGATGATGCATATATATAGAATTGCATTTCCATCAGGAGTTGCTGGATCCCCTGTATGTTGGCTGCTTCATTTCCGGTTCTCTTCTTTCAGCCCAGTATCAGGTAGAAGAAGACATGAACATATTTTGTTTCCACGTTTGAAGGCCTCTGCATATAAAAACCATGAAAATTATAAACCCAGTGGCAGGAATTCATTGAACCACTATTACCAAAGTGGAGATGAATATGCCCAGCTTCAGAAGTGTGTTCATATAATTCTAACCCTTTGCTTAATTCTTTAGCTTGTTGGTTGAACTTAAATCTTTTTCAACCTGGTGCCCTCCGGCATTTATATTTCTTGTGGAATTGCCCAGAAATTCCAATACATCCCTAGTGGCAGGTTTGGGAAAGTCTGGCGTAAATGATTAATGCAATAGCACCAGGAGACTCAAGTATTTAGAAAGCAGAAGTTGTCTTCTTTAGGATAGGGTTAGAATTTGGGCATCTGCAATGGGGAGCAAGTGACATTGTGTTATGTCATTGCACAAATGACACTCATTATATTACAACTAATTCAAATTACATGACTCATGATATTTGTGTGAGTATCATTATGGCACATACACTGTCATTGTTCCTTTATACTTGACACTTTTGGGATGGGACCTTGAAGAGCTCCAAAAATGACTGAACTGTATTTACCATCATTCCTTATCTTTGATTAGGCTGACTGGAGTTACAGTTTGGCAATATCTGAATGGTTTGCCACCTGTATTTTAGATCAGGGGTCCCCAACCCCCAGTCCATGGACCAGTATTGGGCCGTGGCATGCCAGCAACTGGTCTGGACAAAAAAGCAAAGTCCCATCCGTAGAATGCAGGCAGCACACAAAACCATGCATTCAGTCCGCGGAAAAACCTCTCTCCATGGAACCGGTCCCTGGTGCCCCAAAGGTTGGGGATCTCTGTTTTAGATTATACCTTATAACTGGTTTTTATATTTAGAGGGGAATAAGTGCCACTAAATTCAGCAAAACTAACTTCTCAGAAGTTCCATATAAGATTACACTGCAAATTTCTTGCAAGTTTAATATTTCAGATTAAGACTGCTCATAATAGAGAAATGTAGCTGTCTAGTATCTAGAGGGAAAGTTATCATAGTGGCTAAACATGAACACCTTTGGGTTTTTGTAATCTATGGGCAATACCTTTGATGTTGTCAGGCGTGTTAACTTGGCAACAGGGAACATAACACTGAATTGTTAATTTCAGATCATGACAGAAGCTTTCATATTTGACCTTTTTTTTTTCTTTTTCCTTTTCTTGCTCCTTATGGCCAGTCTGCCTCTTGACTCAGTAATTCCTGCAATTACTGATGGGAACTCCTGCAGTTTCTTTGACAGACTACAGCAAGCTGCTCATCTTATCACACTTTATTATTTCAGGATGACCGACAATTAATCTGAGGGCTCAGCTGTGTTCAGGGATTCTAGAGAACAACTTCACTTCTCAGTCATTAACCAGCTTTGTAAGTTGTAAAGTCTGCCTCTGTTCTCTTTTCTTTTAAAAAAGATGGATCATGAATATTCAGACATCCCCTAGGCTGCATTTTTTTTTTTTTTGCTTTGGGTGGTGGTGGTAGTAATTTGTTTTCTCATTTTTCTATTTCAGCTGGAGAAAAAAAATCTACCAATTTTTTTAGCAGAAAAGGACAGAGGGAAGAAATCATTGCTTCTGATGAATATTAGCGCAGAATTAATTTGTAATAGAATTCTTTATATCTCATAGAACATCTACAGGAATATATTTCCCATTTACTTTTTATAATTACGTGATGCAGTTTTTATCTTAATTGTAAAAAAATATTGTCACATATGGGAACAGCTGCACTTTTTCTTGATTTAGATGAAATCTACATTTGGAGTATTTTTGGGGGGGGGGCAGGGAGAAATCATATCCAGTTTGCAATCTTCTATTCTTCTAAGATTTTTCGTACATACTAAGCATCCTATTCTCTCCCCCCCCCCGCTTTGTGTCATCAGCAAACCTGACAATTTTATCTAAATCTTTTTTTAAAACATTGAATAGAAAGCCCTTGTGGCAGCCCACTAGAAACCTTCTCCTGGTTTGATAAAGCCATCGGTGATGATCATGTTTCAAGTCCACAATGTATCCACTTGTGATCCCAGGCAGTTTGCACTTAACTAACTGTGAAGAACATTATGTGCTACTTTGTCAAAAGTTGTACTGAAATTAAAGTATGTTGTATCTCCAGTACTCTCACCCTGCATTTAAAAATATCTTTTAAAAAAACACAAGATAAGTTTAGTCTGCTGAGACTTGCTTTTGTCAAATTTAATTTGATGTCTAATGGCCACCAGCTTTTTTAAAGAGCTTACAGAAAAATCTTTTTATGATCTGCTCTACCCTCTTCTCAAATATTGATGTCAGGCTGATCTGTAATTGTGGAGTCCTAGGTGCTCTCTAAGCTTGGTGTTTTCTTGTAGATGTTTCATTACCAAACTAGATAACGTCATCAGTGCTAGAAGGGAGTGGGGTTTGCTCTCATTTTATATATTAACAGCTTGCTCTCTCAGTGTTGATAGTAGTCCTGATGGGCTCTTTGATTGGGCTGTTGTTTATTGTTAGTTTGTTTTGTGTGTGATCTGTTATTCTCTGGATCCTCCGTTTTCACCATTTTAAATAATTTCAAAATACATTTGTTCTCTGACAGGCATTTCTCAAGATTTGGTCAGAGTACTAGTGAATTGAATACCCTGGGATGCAGGTCATTGGGCCATGGAGATGTGAACTTGTGATTTTACCTGACCATCTATTTTGTCTAGTTTTATGGCAACACAAGTCTTGGTATTCCATATACTCACCAGCTCCTATTTTTTGAGCCTAGGAAGATAACCTCTGTAACTATTTCAGGTTATCCTCCGCCTTTGCATTGGGTCATCATTACCTATTAACATATTTTTTGACAAAATATTGAGCAGCAATCTAGTTTTTGTACTCTTTTCTTTCATCTTCAACAAGGACACTAATTTTGCATTTCCCTTGCTAACTATTTTCAGAAATGGCCTATTAACTGCTTCAAAGAAATTGGGCACTTTTATAGAGACAAGACTGCAAATATCAGCTAAGTGCCTTCAATCCTTAAAATAAGAAAATGAACATGCACCTTTATAATCTTTAAGAATTTAAAATGGACCACATAATATTTAAGTAGACCACCAATTAAGTATTAGTCAGCAGTATGCTGCAGCTGCCAAAAAGGCCAATGCAGTTGTAGGCTGCATTAACAGAGGGATATCATCAAGATTATGAGAAGTGATAGCATCCTTTTATACTGAACTAGTGAGGCCAGACTTGGAAACTGCATCCAGTCAGGTCACCACAATAGAAAAAATATGTTGAGACCCTAGAAAGAGTGCAGAGAACAGCAACAATGATGATAAGGGGTTGGGGGATAAATTGTATGATGAATGGTTAAGGGAACTGTGTTTAGTCTAATGAAGAGAAGGTTAGGAGTGACATGATAGCTATCTTCCAACACTGGAAGGCTGTCACAGAGAAGAGAGGTCAACTTATTCTCCAAAGCACCTGAGAGTAGGACAAAAAGCAATGGGTAAAAGCTCCTTAAAGAGAGATTCTACCTAGAATTAAGGAGACAGCATTTAAACTAGCTCTGTATCTGTCTTTTTACTTAAAGCAAGGGAATTTTGTGAACTTGTTCTTTTTAAAGAAGAAATTGTCTCTCTTTTTAAATGTTAAATTTTAGTCTTTTGTTTATATTAAGATACTGCTATTACTTTGAATTTGATAAATGTGGACTTGTTTATGTATTTGTTTTAGAGTATTACAGTATTGAACTGTATCTGGCCAGGGCCTTATTGAAGCAAGTGATGTCCTAAAATATAGCTCAACAATAGTGCCCCTAAGCCCATCCGTTACCTAATTGACATTACAATTTGGTAAGTACTGAATGTGCTTATTCTATTTAATGATTAATCCAGGACTGCATCTGGCCTTTAGGGATCCATGATCATATTTTTTATTCTGGAATGTCTGCTTCTTCAAATGTTAAAAGCCTGAAAACTGAGGCTAATAGTGCACAGTATGTTCTATCTCTTGCTTCTGGTTACTACTATACTACTATATTTGCTATTTGTCTTCCACAGGCAGTCCTTGATTTACGATGCCAATTGAGACCAGAATTTCCATCATTAAATGATGAGGTTGCATTTTACGACTGCATTGCTTAGCAGCAACATTCCCTGTGGTCGCAGTTGCCACTGTTAACTGAATCCCACGGACTTGTTAGGCGAGGCAACTTTCTGCTGACTTCCCACAACCAAAGCTGTGGCAGGACACTGCAAATTCAAGGCTTGCAGGCAGGCAGGTGGCTGCTGCTACATAGGGAGCAAGGAGCGTGCATGGGTGCAAGGGAGAATCGCAGAGGGTGTGCAAAAAGTGTGGCCTTGGTTGGTTGTCCATGAGAGCTGCATATCAGGCAGGGTGTCTGGGGGTGTGCAAGAGTCATTGTGTGGGTTAGGGGTGCCTGAGTGGCTAGCCCAGTGAAAGTGCAAAGACTGAAAAGGTGCGTAGGTATGGGTTACTTACTCCAGAAGCTTGCAACCTTCTCTTCCAGGTTGCCCACTGATTTCCCCACTGAAGTTGGCATGGAAGATTGCAAATGGCAATCATGTGACTGTGTTGAGGGGTGGGATGGCCAGAACTCAAGAGAACTAGTTGTAACTACCAGTAGCTGACTGAATATATATTGAGGATCACTTGCACATTTCCTTTGTCATCATCTTTTGTAGTGCCCTTGCCAATTTAATCTGGTAAACTTTACTGGTCTCTCATTAATCCTCTGATTTCAAGTACTATTGAACATTTGCTACTTCTGCAAATATATGCCACGTTGTTTTCAGATAGGAAAGATGACATAAGCATTTCAGATCACAACTATTGAATTCTTAGTCACCTTTGTTCCTTAAGGCATCATTAGTAGGTTTACATTTCTTTTTGTTTCTTTCTCTGCTCTCAGTTTAGCCAGTTATACAATATTCACTTAAAAAGAAAATTAAGTATTGAATTCAACTGGCAGACTTTCAGTAGCTCTTCCTGTTAATTCACTCAGTGAGCCTAGTCCCTAAAACCTATCTATCTTATATTTTCTTTTATTTCTGCTGACTCAATAAGAAACAATTGTACCATCATTCACAATGGATAATCAAGAGCTCTCTGGAAATATCTTTTGCAATTAGAACCTATTTGGGAAAAAAAACCCATTTCATCCTTCACAGCTAAATATATAACTTTTTGATCACTCTGCTCTTTTCTTTTTCTTTACTGCTTGGAAGTCTTTGGAAATAGTATGACATACTGAATGAACTTGCAAATGAATGAACTTCTTTGCATTTAACTCCACTGCCAAATTCCTGTTTATTTTCTGTGATTGCTTGTCATACATCATTGCCTTCCCAAACCCAATATCATCCAAAGGTCGGTCTGGCTTAATATAAAATTCTTTATTTCTGTATCGTTTATCTTAAAATTTACTGCTTTAGTCTGAAAACAATGTTATTACTGTTAACAAACTGTACTGGCCTAGATGTTTGTTTCACCAGACTTTTGAAAATACAATGAACGTTATTCCAGTTGGCTTTCTGACTGAAATTATCAAAATGATTCAAGCTAAAACTGAATCTGAAATGAACTAATGAAAATTTAATAAAATATACCAATTACCTATTTCTGGTTCTAAGATTAAATAAAGATATAATAAAGATATTATTTTTAAATCTTTTATTGTTTATTGGAAATATATTTTCTATAGTTAAGCCTATGTTTAAAAAAGAGAGTCTAATAAAGTAACATTTTCTAACTAGCTTTAAGATTTGGTTCATATATATTGTTTATGTAGCCTTGTTATACTGTACAATATTTGAAAGTACAACTGAGACTCACATACTTTAAGTTATTAATAGTACATTTTTTTACTCAAAGCTAAATATTTATTTTGAAATATTAGATTGCATGTTCATTTTGTAAGAAACTTACAAAAGGCAGTCAAATTTCAATAACACAATGTGATGGTGCAGTGAAAGTCCCTAAGCCTGTGCTGGACTGCAAGTATAGGTTAACAATATGATTACTCCTCATAAGAGGGTTAAAAAATGGCTTATGGGAGTTTATGCATTTGTATTCAATGGATTCATTCCATTCAGAGAAACTCCTTGGCACTGCAGACTCTTAGGTGAATAAACAATTTTTGACATTTTTTTCTGCCCATCTCTGGTGGCTTACCATAGCCAGACACTAGATGACAACAGGAAAATCAAGAAATGTTGTTGCCATCCCTGATTTTTTGTAGTTCAGGCATTGTAAGATTATGCTATAACTTTCACAGCTTTCTGAAAGACGCTCCCCACCCCACAAACACCCTCCCCAAACATCTATGTATGTGTACCTGTATGTGTATGTATGCGTGTGTGTATGTAAATAAATGCAACATATCTAGAGGGTTATTTGTGCTCATTTTCAGATTTGACTTCCTGAAATCACATTTTCTACTAATCTTTCACCCTTTTCTATATATATTCAACATACCAGTCTGAGCTAGGGTGCAAAGGATACTGAAACAGTATCAAAAGGACAGTCAAGAATGAGGCCAGCATTCAGGAGGCAAATGTGAGAATATGGGATTAGAGAGAGTGGAAAAAATAGTTCCAAGATCATATGGTTCTAATCTGCTTTGCAGTCTTAACTGCAATGTTCTTGTAATTAAAAAATGTTGCCATTCTTAGTTTTTATGTGTTAACGATATCAAAAGTGTCAGCAGAATTTACTTAGCAAGTTTCTTTGCTCGTGTTATTTCTTACAACAGACGTGTGAAAAGATACAAATCTTTTTTAAACTTGACTTTTAATTTATTCTGTTTGATAGGTGTTATTAGCATGTTCCCATTATCAAATACTATTCATGTATACACAATAATTATCAAAAGAAATATGAAGAAAACATCTGTCATCCTAATAACTAATAATTGTCTTTTACATACACATTATTAATAGCATTGTTCCTATTCATTTCTTTCTAATGTCTTGAGAAAACCTGATAATTTGCTTGAATATGTGCATCATTATAACAAACTTCAAGAAACTCCGGGGACCTGTAAATGCTGAGGAGTTTATTTCCACACCACATGGTCTCAAGAAACTCTTAAAACAAGACCAGTTATAATTTAGTATGCCCAGAGTTCTCAGTGCTTTTCCCCAAAGAAGGGAATTTTTAAACAGACACTGTACATATTCAGTTGAACTATTTGACAGCCATTTAAAAACTCTTTTGTACAATCAATGCAAGAATACCAACATTAAAAGTACAGTACAGATAAATTCACAATCATATAGCAGTGAAAGAGATTGAAATCTAGACAGTGAGAGTACTGAAGCATTGTGTACATGCACTAAAGTGCTAACAATCTAAAGACATGCAGATCTTGAGTGTGTTTACTATACAGCTCACTTCCACTCTTCCTCCTCCCATTTCTAAACATTTCATATTCTCTATAATCCCTTCTAATTTAAGATAACTTTAGTCAACCAGTTCAAGGGTTTCCTTCACTAACATTTACTGCTTCAGTTATGCTAAAGCACCTTTATGAATTTTTTTTAAATGAAACCAAAATCAATAAAATTAAGAATCTGATATTAAACGAAGGAGGCAGAAAAATAGCCAAATAATCTAAATCTCAACAGTGCAAACATATTACAAGGCAGTCAGCAGTTAAGAGAGCAAGAGAGAGAACAGATTCACTGTCTCTTTGAAACAAAATTTATTTTTTAAAATCTTACCTTTATCTGTATAATTTTTAGATTCTTTTAGTTAATATACTGTGTGTAGAAAAGATGGTGGCAAAAATAGTTTTCTGAGCTATGAAAAAATAAGTTATTAACAGGCACATTAGCTGTTTCATTCTAGAAACATCAGGGTTTCTCCAGTTGTATACTAAGAAGCTGCATTCTAGAACATTCTTTGAACACTGGAACTTCTCACTGACAGAGACTGGCCATGATAATGGATCCATCATACAAAAGATAGCAAATTATGATGTGATAATTCATGCAGGTTTGTGTCATTGGTTTGAATTCTCTAATAGCAGTTTCTGGTTTACATAGTCTTCTAAAGTGAGGCAGTAGGAGAATGTAAGGCCCATCGGGATGGTGGGCGCTGATTTGCTGGTCTCTCAGGTCTAGAGAAGCAGGATTCTAAGGATGGAGCCAGGGCAGAACAAGGTAGTTCCTTTATTGTGAGAAAAATGGAAACAGAACAATTTTACTAATTCATACAGTACACAAGGGAGGAAAACAGTATTTAAATATGTACATGTATAATTTGAAAAAAGCAGCATTTTTGGATATTGTTTTGAAATGTTCAGTCTGTTCCGCTTACAGTCAATAAGAATAAAATGAATGAAGAGTTGTATGTAGAAAAGCAATCTGTAACCCTTTAAATTCTCATAATCTTCAACTCTTAACAGTCCCAGTTAGCAGAAATAATGTTAATAAGATGCTGGGAGTTGTACATCAGCAATCTCTAGATGACCATAGCTTACATGGTCTTAAATGATCTGATAATCATTCATTCACATTCTATAACCACATAAATAAACAAGACAAGATAATAGTAAAATCCTGTCTTGTCCACAAGATTGAAGAACAGTGTCATAGTTGTACAGCAGGGGTCCCCAATACCTGGAGACCAGCGCCGGATTGCAACATGCCAGCAACTGGGCCATGTACATAGTGAAGCTGCACCCACAGGATGCAGACAGCATGCAAGACCAAGTCCCCTCTGGTCCATGGAAAAACCTTTCTCCCTGGTGCCCAAAAGGTTGGGGGCTGCTGCTATATATGTCACCAATTATGTGAACCTCATCAGTCAAGGATTTTTGGCTGATAGG